TTAAGGCCTCATGGGAAGCATGAGGGAGGGGTGCTGTTTGAGCAGCAGTAAGGGGCAGAGTCACCAGATTGACAGACAAATGCTGAGTAATATGTCTTTATTTTTAAAATGTTTTGTCATATTATCCCCGTCTCATCACAGAGACACGCTGCGTCCATCTGTTCTGTAGAGACAAGAACTGAGTTTTCTTTTCATTTAAATGTCTCAATACTAAATACTCTGATATCAACATTATTTAATTGTTTCATTTTAGATAAAGGTTCATTAATGTTCACTTTCATTCATTTCAAGGGTTCATCTGTTGTTCAGTCCAAAAGCCCCTGATCCAGGTTTCATGTTGTTTTCCTTCAGCCTTTTGCTATCAAGTTTTCTATACAGATCTCATTGTTGGTGTAGACCAGGGGTGGGCAATTGCCCACCTTAAAATGATTTTTTTGCGTTTTTGAACTGTTTTTTTCTTTGATTGAAAATATTTTTTCTGACTGAAACAACTTTTTTTGGAATTGAAAGATTGAGACACACATGTCCTGCCCATGCAAGGCCCAAACATTAATAGAAAATGTAATGTTTATTCTGGAACATTTTAGTTTATTAAAATATTCCACATCTATTCTATAAAACATTCTTCCTGCGCTTTCAGCTAATTGGACTCATTTCTGTTTTCCAATTGATTTTCAGTCCAGTTCAAAAAAAGAAAGACTTGTAGAAACATTGAGACAAAAACTATAATCGCAGGATGGAGCAACGATCCCTGATTCAAACCAATGCAGCAGTTTCCATCCTTCTTCGTTTCCGATTGTTTGTTACTGGATCTTTAAGAATTTAAGCGAACAGTTTTATTTAAATACATTGTATGTTACTTAGAGGAATAACGTAATCAGGTTTCAAATATCACAAAAGCTTCACAAAGAAGCCACAGCTTTTTGTACATGTAAAGAAAATCTGTTCTTACCTGACTTCCGCTGCAGAATGGCTCCAGTTCTGAAAAAGCGATTCAGGAAGAAAAAATAAATCGGATCATTCAGCAGGAGACTCAGCAACAGTTTGCAGGTCGGATCATTTCTGCTGTTTTCAGCGTAAACAGAGGAAACGCCGTCTTACCAACAGCTTCTCACATTCCTCCACCTTCTGGTTCAGCTCAGAATTCACCGTGAAAGAAACCCGATAGAACAAACTATCTGCAGAGGAAAGATGAGATAAGAGAAAAATCAGCGCTTGGTCATGTTTTTTACTCCTGTAGTGACCTTTCTATTACTGTGCCGCACAGCAGGAGATGAATCAAACACTCTGAGCCAACAGGCACATGCAAAAATGAGCAAATTTGCTACTCAGCAGCAACAAAGACTGCTATACCCCGTAAAAGGAACCGTTATTAGAAACACAGAAGGAGAGCCCATCGGTGTTTTGCTTTAGTTTTCTGCTGGAATCTGAGAATAAACTCAAAATATTTAAGGGAATTTCAGGCCTCCAGTATCAGACTGATTCCTTTTTTTCAAACCAATATCTGAGCTTCATAAACCTCCACATTTCATCTGTTTTTTTCCCCCTGCAGAGTCCAAATCTGTCTGAGCTGCTAGTATGGATCAAGAATTTGCATGTATGGCTAAAACCTGCAAAACTTTAGTTGTCTTTTTTTTTCGGGGGGTGGGGGTGTGCTGACTGATGGGACCAGCTGTAGCTTTCCAATCAAAAGATATAAAAATAAGACAAAGAATGACTAAAACTAGATCCTTAACATTTAAAAAAGGCACAAGTACTTTAGTAATTTTGGCCAAAGTTAATAAGGGTAACAGTGAAGTCTCTATGAGATAAATATTTAGTGGTGCTGTGGGCCGTTTTCTGGCCTGTCATAGAAAATCACAGTAAACTTAATCAGAAGTTCCACCTTCACACACCCTAGAAAGACTCAAGGTGTTTGAATACTTCTGGAACAAACTGAAGACCTTAAGTGGAACTTTATCTAATTTAATTCCTTTATTAAATGAAATCTTATCATTGGCTGCAATCTGCAGGATTTCTAAACTCTGCAAACTTGCAGAATTTCAGTCTGGATTCCCATTAGAAAACATCTGCAGATTAACCCCCCACCTCACCCCTGTCATAGCCCTCACTGATCGCTATTATTCACTGGATTGCTGATTGCACAAAAAA